AACTGACTTAAACTCGAACAATAAAAAAAATATAGAGTGAAACCCATGATCGAGTCGCTTCGAACAACGCAAATAGCCTTCTTCAGGTTCGCAACGCCTTGTGGGTTTTTCAGGGGGAGCGCAAACAAGGTACAAAAAGTATCCATGCAAGGCTCCGTGCAACAGAAACTCATATGAAACCATTTGTGAGAACATCGTTTCTCGGTACCAGATCCTGGTGTCCTTCCTCCCCCGGGAGACCACTTTTCGACACCGACGACCGAAAGCCCATTTTATGACTGGGCTGCACAGGCAGCCCAGTAATAAAATCATCATTATTTTTTATCTTGTACACTAATACTGCCGTGCAATGAAGAATAAGTATGCGAAAAAAAATATAAGTCACTCCCCTTGAAAAAATAACAAAGAGGTCGCAAGGACACAAATAAGTAGCCCAGCAAATATTTTTGCTTGATAATAACAGCTTTTTGTAAAGAAATGGTCACTAAAACCTAAACCTAAACACTCACTAGTCTTANAATTTGTCTGAAGCCTGGGGCCTTAATTAGAATGAGTTTAATTGTGTTGCATACAAATTATACATACATAGTACCACAAGAAACAAAAGTACAACAAAATCAACCAACGCCGGCGAAGTCCCGTTGAAACGCATGTTTAGTTCTTTCTTTACCGTTTATTCATTGTAATAAGAAAATTGAAACTATTCATCGGCAACTGGATGAGTTGTTCGCTTCACTGACTATGACGGCTTACAATCAAGTCTTCAGCCATAGTGTCGTCAACTGGTGAAATACTTTGCTCATAAATTTTGCTTCTTAATTGCTCATGTACTACATCGATCGATGGTTCACGAAGCGGCCACGGCGTTCCAAACCTGACGCTCACAGTCATCTTTTCAGTCTTTTAGTGTGAACCTACCGTGTACGGCGTGTCGGTTTGAATGCAACGCGAGCATTTCTCTGAGTTTCCCAGCGCCAACATCATCTAACTGACTTAAACTCGAACAATAAAAAAATTATAGAGTGAAGCCCATGATCGAGTCGCTTCGAACAACGCAAATAGCCTTCTTCAGGTTCGCAACGCCTTGTGGGTTTTTCAGGGGGAGCGCAAACAAGGTACAAAAAGTATCCGTGCAAGGCTCCGTGCAAGAGAAACTCATATGAAACCATTTGTGAGAACATCGTTTCTCGGTACCAGACCCTCGTGTCCTTCCCCCCCGGGAGACCACTTTTCGACACCGACGACGGAAAGCCCATTTTATGACTTGGCCGCACAGGCAGCCCAGTAATAAAATCATCATTACTTTTTTATCTTGTACACTAATGCTGCCGTGCAATGAAGAATAAGTATGCGAAAAAAAATATAAGTCACTCCCCTTGAAAAAATAACAAAGAGGTCGCAAGGACACAAATAAGTAGCCCAGCAAATATTTTTGCTTGATAATAACAGCTTTTTGTAAAGAAATGGTCACTGAAACCTAAACCTAAACACTCACTAGTCTTACATTGAAACCAGACATAGCTATATATATATATATATTTTATAGATACAACATAAAACATTTATATAACATACAAATTCAAACTGAGTACATTGCAAAAAAGAAAATTATACAGAATTTTGCACAAATGAAATACAAATGGCCTGTAACAGCTATTAAACCCCTGAAAACCAAACTTTTTAGTGTGACCAGCAACCCTAGCACACTTGTATACTTCATGTCCAGTATGATTCAATTTCATTGTTGGTTAAATTTATTAACTGCAGCCAGGCTTAATCAAACTTGATTCAAAAAATACTTTCCTGTTTCCTTGTAACTACAATATATAATATTAAGAGAGAGGATATAATGCTAGAAATATTATACAGTAGTACAATCAAAAGATAAGGCAACTCTAGGAAATCGAGTTGGCCCCTACTATTCTTTAGTCATTTTCTTTTACTCTCTATAAGAGTTACACCTGTCCATTAATACAGACATTTTGTGCCAGTCCCAATAGTTTCCATCTGAGAGCTGACTGTAGTTTGTGCAACACCACACTTAAGCCTCTGACAACAAAAATACAATGTTACACAATCTTAATTTATTCTACTTGCAATCAAATTAAGGCCTCTTCATGTTCTTCTTCATATTCACAGTATTATGAACTAGTTTATTTTTCAGTGTGTGTTCTAGTGGTCTTTTCAGGCCGGGCACTCACTGTTGTCCTGCAAAAAATCATAATAACCAACAGATTCTATGATTTAATTTTACAGTGGAATCTTTGTGGGGATTTGAAAGCAAATTTCTCCATAGGCTTCATTCTGTTTCTCTGCAATACAACCTTTAGCTTTATACCGCAGTAAAGCAGAATTTGTAGTTGTTTATGTAACGACTGTCACACGAGATCATTCGAATGTAATTTTCTAGTAGAACTTTCAAAATAGTCAGAACCTTCTTGGATCGCGGTTCTGTAACTAAAAAAAATATTAACCATCTTAGTGTATATTAAAAAAAGAAAAATCGTAAATTGGGCAACTGAAATCTTTTATTTTGCTAACAAGCTAAACGCCAACGTGCAAAACAAAAACCTTGCTATCGCCATTATGAAGTCGTCACTTCAGAAGTAAAAAAACCTTGAAGGTTCATAAAAGTTCACTCTAAAAATTTGCATGCACAAACAAAATTTATAAAACCATTACATATTTTTTTGTAGCCGTTTATTATCATTTGGTTTTGACTCGAACCTACCTTCAGCTAGACGGCGCCATTTTTCTTGCCCTGACAGCGGATCGAGAGCGGAAAGCGGACTAGTTCCAGTCCTACTCCGCATCACAGCTGAACCAGAGAGCGCGTATGAGCGTTTCAATGCCCTAGCTTCTTACGTCCTGGTCCGGGTAGAGCGTAAGGTCGCGGGTTCCGGCGATCCCTAGGCCTGGACCAATACTCACTCAGGGTCTTACTGCACAATAACTGAGAAATGAAGGTGCATATTGCCCTACAAACAGCTAGACCAACCTTTGGCTAGACCTAGACCTAGAAATGGCTTTTCGTCTTCACGATTAGACTTAAAAAACAGTGTTCTCGATTAGTACTTCCGCGCTAAATCCATCTCGAGACTTTATCTTTGTCTTTGCGTGTATTGTTTTCTACAAGGCTTCTCATTTTAGGGCTAGACAAATGACATCATTAAATATTCAGAATCAACATCAATCTGATGGAGTTAATTTCCCTGAGGCTTTTCGCCCACAGAAGATGAAATTATGTACTGCATTGAAAACACTATCATGAAACAAAAGCCAAACAAAAGTATACATTAATTTGTTCATTCAATTCTAACCTCTCAACAAAACATTGAAACGCAACGTGACGTATTCCTCGATCCTTTTCGTAATTAAAAATATTAAATATTGGAAATCCACCTAATCTTTATCTCCCTGTGTAGTATAGGACTAATGAATTGCTTCAGATAATTGAATCCTCAATCAAGTGGGCCGATAGCCTTGAAAGCTTTTCTAATCAGCAAGTTCCTATTAAACATCATAAGAAATATGAAATCTTCTAGCGATGAAGTTCCTCCCATATCAATTAATTGATTTTGTCCAACTATTAAGCGCCTTAAACCATAGGTGTATGTGGGCCATATAAATATTATTTTTCGTAGTATACATGTAATTATTACAGTTGTGATTAAGATTTGGCACTTAGATAAATATTTAAGCACACAACACACGATTTTTAGCTCTAGTCTATTTTACAATTCAGGACAATTATGACTTCGAAACTACATTTGTGACTGTCAATGAGCATCAGTTTTTTGGCTCTGTTCCTATCCATAGAAGTTTCTCACAGACAGATCCCCTCTGAGCAGATCCAGTTAAATACAAAAAGAAAGATTGTTCTTCCCTTTGCGCTAAATTGACTAAGAGCCATTTTTCCACGAATAAAATGGCTAGTATAGCCATAACTATTATATTTACTGGTTATGCAGTACTTTTTTATTTTTTTCATGGCTGTATCGTGAGATCCCAATCAGGCTAATGAGGACAAGAGCCAGTTCCGCGGCGAAACGCATAAAGAAATAACTGAAACAAACTCCCACTATTACGGAAATGTGGACACTTTCCTGCCCCCAAGCGCGACATTTCACTTGTTTTTTTTCTCTCGCTATAGCGGACACTTGAGTACTTCGTCAAAAATCCTGACCCACATAACATAAAGAATAAAGCGACGTTACAATAATAGAAAAAATGCACAAAGTACTATCGACCGCTTCTTTGTAAAAGAGTAAACAGATGACTGCTCTAGAGCATTTTAGGGAAAAAAGACATTGCCATTAGAACTTACAAACATGATTTTGCGCTATTTTAACTCTCTACTGTGAGTCAAAAGTCGTTAGACAGGTTTCTGTTATGAGTATACTGCATGGGCAGCACTTCTGCGATAAAAGAGCTGCCAAGAACAATAAAAAACATTATATTTGACAGCAAGTTAACATTTTAGCCATTCACGTTACCGAAGAAGTTTCCCTTTGGTTTTTAAAGGCCTTTCTTATGTATCCCTTGTCACTGCAGGAGCTTGGAAGTGATAATATAGCATACATATTTAGATCTATTTACAATCTTCTTACCTTTAATCTTCTATGGTTCATAGTTAAAAGAAGTAAAGAATTGTCGAAACTTCAATGCCTCTGGGACTTTTACATATTATTTCATAAGCTTAAGAGGAAACAATTTTTTTTTCTCTCGTACCCCGCTATTACGGACTCTCGCTATTACGGACGCTATATCTTCCCCCCGAGGGTGTCCGCAATAACGGGAGTCGGCTGTACCGAGGGTTTTGGTCTTGGAAACAAAAATTTCTTGAACTCAGCCTTGAAAGAGCGATTCATGAACCCATAAATAAACGGATTGACACAACTCGTCAAGAAGATCAGGAGAGTGCAAAGCAGTGTTACCAAACGAGGTACCCCAGAAAAATGTACCAATATTGAAACAGTAAATGTAGTATGGACCGGTAGTCAAAGGCAAACAAAAGCAATCACGGTAACACCCAGCGTCTTGCTTATTTTTACGTCTTGGACGTTTGACGTCTTCCAAGACATGTTGGCGTTGTGCATTTTGATTGTCTTGTGAATTTTCCAGTAACAAAAACCGATAATAATATACGGCGAAAACATTAAAATAGTTATAATTACCAAAAACCGAGGACGAATTTGTGTTGTGCATAGGGCGTAACCGGGGTTCGGTTTCGTGGCTTGATCGAGAGCAAAGGCAGAGACAAGCGCTACAAAAATTGGAATAGCATAAGCTAAGACTGCAGTGACAACGATGAACTTTTTCTTGAATAAGGCTTGGTACTTACTAGGCTTCACTATTTTATAATATCTGTTCAGTGCCATAAGAGTCATAGTGTATATGGATGCTTTGGTCAGGACAAATTTGGTGATGGCGGAGGAGTAACATAAGCCTTTTCCGAATGGCCAATGACCGGTTGACAGAAAAACAACGGAAAGTGGCATCGTGCAGAGCGCTTGCAAGATGTCGGTCATAGCCAAGGAAATGATGTAGTAGTTGCTGGGACATCGTAGTCGAGGATTTCGGTATACAGCGTAACAGACCAACAGATTTCCAAACAGAGGTAACACCATGACAAAAATGAATAGGAAGGACTCAAAAACCACGATGGCGACATGTCTTGATTGAAGTTGTTGCCACAAAGCCAGTTCGTCTTCGTCAGGCCTCTGAGGCATGATCGAGTCTTTTTGTAAAGTTGTATTCTCAGTTTGTTTGTATAAAGATCTTTGCTTAAGTCACGACTCTGTTAAACACCTTCTGTGACTTATTTGGGCGGGAAGATTAGTTCGAATAGGTACGTTAGCGCCGAGGAAACCCAACTGTACGGCTTGTATCAAACGGAGAGGACTCTGAGTTAGCCAAGATGTGTTGAGAACTAAATCAATTAGGAACAGCTGCTAACTTAAGGGCTGGACCAAGCGTTTTCAAATAAATATTAACACAGTATGAATTCATAGACGTCAATTTGTCTGAAGCCTGAGGCCTTAATTAGAATGAGTTTAATTGTGTTGCATACAAATTATACATACATAGTACCACAGGAAACAAAAGTACAACAAAATCAATCAGCCCCGGCGAAGTCCTGTTGAAACGCGTGTTTAGTACTCTCTTTACCGTTTATTCAGTATAATAAAAAAAATTGATGTACTAGAGATGCACAAACGTTTGCCGTTTTTTTTTTTTTTGCTACCTTGGCATCAGTAGGACTTGAATTGTGCTATGTTTGTGACTAGAGCATTGGCGAATCCAGACCTTCAGATAGGGGGGCGGGGGGCGGTCATCCAGACCCTGAGATAAGGGGGAGGGGTGACCGGTCTCAAAAAAACTTTTTTGTCGCCCTTCGGGCCTCAGTTTGGTCTAAACATAAGGGTGGGGGGCTCTGCCCTGGATCCGCCACTGCTGGAGTGTCCCAAATCGTTTCATCTTCTCGTTTAATCTTTCTTAAGTTTCTCCTTCTTAAAAAATAAACCTTCTCTTCTGACGAAGCTCACCAGATTAATCCAATGACAATCGTCAGTCTTAATTAAAATTAGACAAGTTTATTTGTTGTATACTGGGGAAACCTTCCATACGGGGAAACAAAATACCTACTCAAAGACACTCCCTTGTTAATACAGAAAAAATTTTCAGGAAAAGAGTGAATAAAAGTGCAAGTATGGCACCTTTGATGAATTGAAAGAAAGCAAAAGCCACACTTCTAAGCTACTCATATGCGTGTACGTGCGAAGTTTCATCTCCCTTGGCACTCTTGTAATTAAGTCCTTCATCTACCTGTTTGAGTTAGATAAGGACACATTGTATAAAGTTAAATGGTTATGAATTCTGTCAGATCTCCTTGTTATATATTTTTGTTAGTTTGCACAACGTTATCATTTAATTTTGACCTTTTAATTTATTCAGTCATAATTTGTGAACGAAAAACAAACAATTCTAGGCTGTTAGGAAGCTGTTCTCCAACTTAAAATGCAGCCCTTGCTTCAGTTATCTCTTTGAAGTTTTCTGGCTTTCATAACCAGTCTCCGCTGCTATGATAAAGACTACTAGTCCTTGTTAGTTAGCTTTTGACGTTTTTGGTATCTAATTCAAGCATAAAAAAGCCTAATCCCTAACTTTTCAATGAATCTGAATTTTGACTGATTTAAGGTGGCCCGAAGAAGTCCTATTTATATGCGTGATGGTTGTTTTTGAATCGCCTTTTTCAGCAGGAACGATTTAACTGATTTCTATGATTTTTAACATCCTCAATGAAAAACCATGGAACTTTTAGAAAATGTTGTTTATTTTCCTTTATAGGTATAAAAACGTTTGAGATATCGGCATATATTTAAAAAAGAATTTTAAAAGAAAATGTTTTTTTTTTGCACTAAATAACCAAATCCTACGACAGTTTTTTCCCGAATTTCATCAAATACGCTTCAGAACTCTTACGTTTTGTATCTGTAAGTTTGAAGTCAATCGTGACCATACAACTGGCTGCACAAAATGCTTGTCAAATTTAACCTTAAAATGCTACGCTAACATATTTGTGAAAGTTGATGCACAGATCTTTGAAGGGTGCCGACGGGCTATCTCCTATCTGAAAACTGGTATTCTTACCCAAAGCTTTAGTTCAAGAAAGTAAGGCCCGGTTCAGACGCCGTACGTGTACTTTCCACGAGCCGAGCCTAATACATTGAATTAATGACCTGAAAAGTTCGGCGTCTGAATCAATTAGGAACGCCGGCTTCAATTTGGAACACAGCCGGCCCAAGCTCAGTGTGTGAGTTTAATCATTAACACATGTGGTTTCATATTGCATAATTTAAAATGGCCGTGAATATAAAGGATTTGTATGGGAAATCAGTAAAAGATTCAAATCGATAAATACTCGCTAGAATGTTCAATAAAATACAGCTTACCGTATTTAGTTTGCTTAAATCGCAATGGATCGGAAAAATAACCACACAGCAAACAAAAACAAGCAAAGTAAATACGTTAAGCTGTATCTTATTGAACATTCGAGCGAGTATTTATCGATTTGAATCTTTTACCTGATTTCCCATACAAATCCTTTACATTCACGGCCATTTTAAATTACGCAATATGAAACTACATGTGTTAATGATTAAACTCACACACTGAGCTTGGGCCGCCTGTGTTTGGAACGGCTCAGCCATTCTTTCCGCCTAGCCCGGCCGGTAATTTCGACTTTGGATCGACTTTGGAACGCCTTTGATTCAGACACCGGACTTTTCACATACCGAACCTAATGGATAAATTCTCGTAACGTATTTTGTGAGCAGTTTGACCGAAATGAGCATTTTTCTCCTTCTGAATCTAGTTCGGCTGGAATTAACATCGGCGTCTGAATCAATTCAGCCGGTCTAAATAATTTGGTTGGCCTGAATTCGAATTAGGTTCGGCTCTTGAAAAATTCGGCGTCTGAACCGGGCATGAGTAATCAGAAACCAAAACGCAAATAAATAGGTTCGGGCCACCTTAATCCAAGATGGCGTTCAATTTGGCTTGGACGACAATCAGAAATGGGGGCAAAGATAGGCCGCTCGAGAATGAGACTACTAGCACAATATCCTTTGGCTCTTTCCGACAACTATTTTAAGCGCACATTCGGTAGTGTCCTCTGCCGGCTAGACTTTTCACAGTCCTCTATTTTCCATAAGATTATAGGCATCGAGCGTTTATCAGCCATCTTGGTGACTCGGTTCATTTGAAACCAAGATGGCCGCAGCCCATAACTCACGATGGGTGACGACCCCGATGACCTTACGGGAAAATAGAGGACTGTGAACAGTCTATCTGTCAGCCGCCGTCAAGATGATGACCGTTTCCCGAAAGTCCTGGTAATTACCGGACCCAGAAGCTGTTTTTTGATTACCGCGTTCACATTCAAGATCGAGGTCTTAATTATCAGTTTTAAAAATTCTACGATAAAAGTATTAAATGGACAGGTTCATTGGAGGGCCATGACCCATACAGCCTCCTAGGCAGATGTCCTTAGGGTGGGGGAGGTAAGCGTGACGAAGCTCTGTGAACATCTGGGTTGGAGGCAGGCTAGAACCCACAGTAATATTCATTAGGTTCATGGTAGAAATACTTTTCTGAGCTAAAACAACATTTTGCAGTACATATTTCGTTCAGTACAGAAATAATTTGTCACTTCTGGCAGTGGATACAATTTACAATTTTATTTACCATTGTATGAAACCTTTCTTGCTACAAAAATTTGTTCATATCGTTCTTTTCCATTACTCATATTTCATTTCCTATATTTATTTCCTTGAAGTGATCGCTCAAAAAATTACTACTGAATAAGTGAAAAAAGTTTTTTTAATTACAAAATTATAGCTAATTACGATCTACAAAAATTAACTGATGGACCTAAATTTTCACTGGCATATGTGAAGAACACTGCATCTCATAGAGGTTTAAAATGTAAAATTTATATTTCTAACGTCCTATAGTAAGTACCATAGCGTTAATTAAGCCAGGCCCACCCCACCTCCCTCCCCACCTCTATACTGTTTCCGGATCACTGCATGAAAGCGAGCGAACACATTCTGAAACCAGTGAACAATGATAAACAGTTATCGTCGTTTCAATTTGTCCAGCAATACTAAATGCTTACTTTTTTACAGTCACCTCTCTCGTACAGCCACTTTTTGGCAAATTTCATGAGATTGTATGACCAATCCCAATGGTTGCCTTGGAGTTGTGCGGGTCCGTTAAGTAAAAATGAGCCCAGTGTTCAAACGCACAACTCCATCTTCAGTTGTCAAGAAATCGTGAAAAAGGTGAAAAATAACATAAATAAAAATAAAAAAAATAGTAGAAGTCAAGAACCTTGTCGAGTGGCAACGAAAGGAGTTAGTCCCATTGCAACGGACTCCACAGTAAGACGGACAGCTACACCCTAAAACGGCCATTCAGAGTGGGTCCATACTGCTCTCGACATTTAATAATGTAGGTACCTTGCAGTGGTGTCCTTTCTAAAGAGCATGGACTGTATAGCAGTTATAGAACACTAGGCCTGACTACAGTCGTGTACTATTGATCTGCGTGATCGCATCAAGACAGAACACAAACAAACGAGTAAAATTACACATATTCCTTTCACACTTAAATTATTTCCTCGCTGCCTTGGAATGATTATGCCAGGTTTGCGACTTTCTTCGAATCGCCCATAATGTCAAGCATAGCCGCGCTCTCTGATAATCATGTTGCGTGCTTATGCTAACCAACACTCGCTTCAGTGTTATTACAGTAGTTAACACTGAACAGTTATTTAGAACCGCTTAACTGCGAAAGGGTTCTGTGGGTTGTGCTGAATTTATTCTGTCACTGGTTTTCGCAAATCAGGTCAGTTATTTACCTTGTGCTAAACATTGCTTAGCCGCTGTACATTTGAACGGCTTCCAATAAAGCGCCACGTTCTCAAAAAATCGTAAGTGACTACAAATTTTAAGCAATTTTGACATGTGCAAGATGCACTTGATTCGAGCGGCTTTAATGTGTTGATTAGAATGTCAGCCTTATCACCATCACCGTCACAGGCGACAACTAAAAGAGCTTCACGGAAACCGCTCTAAGTATAATGCTGAACGCTCGCGTGAAAGGTAGGAATGGCTGAATAAGCCGCATTGGGCCTCAATGTCATTAATATATTAAGACGAAACTT